CCTGCCACATCCTGCTGCCTCCGCGCTCGCCCGTGCGCAGGTGCGTGAGGGACGCGTCCTGGGGCCTACAGGGTGCGCTTTGAGCTAGGTCACTAGCCCCGCCCGACCTCTGGCTGTGTCTCTCTGAAACCCGAGCTAAATTCCTGGACCGCTTCAGGCAATTAAAACTGTCGGGTGGAAAGAGCGAGAATGGAGTGAATGGAATCCAGGAGCCTCCCTCCCTTAACTTTGAGTCTTTACTCAAATGCCCCTGGATGAATGACCGCCCTCAATGACCACCCGCAGGATTAAAGCTCTAGGAAGGCAGATATTTTTGCCCCCAGGGTCTAGAACCGTTTCATTGGATGCCTACTGCTCTGGGAAGAGGCATATCTTGTTGACAGTTTTTTAAAGCCGAAACAACGCTTAAAGAAGGCTAACAGCTGGGGGCAGTCATTAAGTGTGGCACTTCCTGCAGCTGATCTGAACTCACAACCCCAGGAACAGTATATATGTACTGGATAGCTTTAATCTACACCTGGTGTGGTCAGGTGCCTAGTTTGGGACTACACACTCCAGAACTGGTTAGCTAGCATTTAATCAAAAAGCCACATTCCAGAGACAGCTAATATAAGCACTTCAATAATCTTAGATCAACCAGAAGTGGCTTCACTAATTAGCATAACAGATATGAGACATAGGTTTTCAATGGTGAAATTAGTGGTGTCCAAGTCACATGGAGAGGGTATAATTTTTTTCCCAAGGCATTTCCTCTCTTGCTCAAACAGGGAATAAGAATTTAGTTTCCAGTAGGTTTGCTCCAAAATGGTCCAGTGTCCAGTCACTGACTCAGGAAACATTTTATACAAGATTTGCTCAGAGAATTTCATTTGTCAGGGGACGGGAGTGAGGCTACCTGCCACATTTGTCTGTATACATGACACAATTTGGTCTACCACTTGCTTTCGCTGGTAGACAGTGTGTTGGCGCGGAGGCCCAGGGCCCTCATCTAACCTGAACAACTGGTAAATTCTGTAGATGTCTACTTAAAAAGCTCAAATTAATATGATTGTGAATGCTCAAATTAATATGAATCAGTTCACATCACTCCAATGGCAGAAAAAATAAAATCTAGCTACCTCCAGACAAACTCACTCAAATTCAGCAATATCATAGTCATTTCAGGTCACATCAGGACTGTCCCTATTCCCTTCCTCCCTCAGTTCTGCTGCAGCCAGCTTCAGTGGAGGATGTCACATCCATCGGCGTCTCACTCCTGGCCTATCCTGGGTCCTGACCTGTCCTGGACTTATCTCCACTGGGAGGTAGGCATTCTGTCCTGCTGGCATCCATGGAGGTACCCATGTTCCACATTGCTGCCTACAGCTGCACCCCTTTCCCTTTGGGCTTGTCTACTTTCTGCTACCTGAGAAAACTTTTTCAGCTTCCTATGTCCCATGGGGGCACAGGGTGCTTTCTAAGTCTGCCCTTGGACCCATCTGCCTGTACCTCCCAGGCAGCCCCTCTTATACTCTCCTGGGCATTGAGAATGTGCCCTGGGACTTGGCCCCACTCCCGGGCAATGAGGCCAAAAGTAAAGGGGCTCCATCTCTTAGATTCCCAAACTTAAAAGGGATTCTCCCACTGCCCCTACCATCGCCATCCTCTGGGACTCCATCCGGGCGATAGGGATGGACTCATGTCCAAGCCTTTTTGTTCTCTCTCTTTCCCTCCACCCTATACTTAGTGCTGGGGGTGACCTGGACGTAAGGTTTTGAACTCAAAAGCCCCCAATTTTGATATCTTTAATCTCTGGCTCCTGCATTCCCACCTCTGTTTGGGGACACTGCTGTTCAGGAGAGTCCCTAAGTTAACGAGAATAAGGAGAGGAGGGGGCAGGAGACAGAACATGCTAGTTCATACTTCACAGAACTCTTACCTGGTCTAAGTGGATTCATTGGGTTATATTAAGTACTGCTCCCCACCCTGGTTTCTATTAAAATACAAATATTGATGGGTATTAGATAAAAGCAGAAACACTTTAGTGTGCATTTATTGTATTGGACATTTCCCTCTCAAGTGGGAGAGACCCCTGCCTGGGAGTGGGGAAGGTAGGGAGTGGCCCAGGGGAGGGAAGCTCTGACCTTGGTTTTAAGGGCCGGGTGGGGAACTTGAGTGAGAGAAGAGGAAATTTAAAATAAATGAAGGAGTGGATTTCTTTTTTTTTTTTCTCCCAGAGACAGGGTCTCATGCTGTCACCCAGGCTGAAGAGCAGTGGTGCAATCATAGCTCACTGCAGCTTCAAACTCTTGGACTCTAGCGATCTTCCTGCCTCAGTCTCCTTTGTGGCTAGGACTACAAATGTATGCCACCATGCCTGGCTTATTTTTTTATTTTTATAGAGACAAGGTTTTACCACGTTGCCCAGGCTAGTCTCAAACTCCTGGACTCAAGTAATCCTTCCACCTCAGCCTCCCAAAGTGCTGGGTTTTCAGATGTGAGCCATCATGCCTGGCTAGGAGTGGACATTTGTGTGAGAAGTTGGGCTTCGTGTGTGTGCTATCATGCAGCTGCTGCTTTGCAGTGTGATCTGTGGGCCTTCACGTGACCCTTCTCTCCCATAGTCCCTATAGCAGGCTCCCTGTGCTTCCAGGTACTTGCTGGATCCTGGCCAAGGCCAGAAGCTGTCCCTTGGAGTCAGGCCTTGTTTTGGTCGTTGGTGTATTTGGGATTGGTGGGGTAGTGTATTCTTCCTCTTGGGCCTGCTGCTCTCAGACTCAGCTAGTCCGCTGCCCTGCAGGTTCACTGGACGATGCCGGAGAATGTGTTGATGGGCATCAGAAGGGGTTTGGGCTTAGCTTTGGTCATTTCCATCTGCTTCTGCCCTTGTGAATTGAGACACGGTGCCTTGGACTTCTGGGCCCCAGAACATGGCTCTGGGCAGGGAGCAACCTCAAATCTGTGGGTGGAGAGAGACCAGCTCAGGTAACCAATCTCAGGGATCAAATCTGCCTTTAAAAAGTATCGCTGCTATTGTAAAGCAGAAGGAAAAGGAAGAATCAGAACAAGAAAGAACATCCTGGGCTTAGGAGATGCTTGGACCAGTTACCCTGTGTATGCCCTCCTTACCTAAACATACCTCCCCAGGGGAACCAGAAAGGGTTAGTTCACTGGGGCACAGATGCAACAGAACGTCAGCCTGTGTGAGAGGGGTTCGTGCCCACAGAGGGGGTTGGATCAGAAGGGTTGCAGGCTGAACATACACACAGGACTCTTGAGAAAACTAAGTATCAGCTGCTGCCCAGCATCAGCCATTTATTTGCCTCTTCTTCCTGGATTCAAGTCATAGGGCAGTGGCCTAAGTCTGTACTCACCAGGGATACCTGACTGGCCATGGGATCTGCCACGGACAAGGCGCCCTGGGCTAGAAGCCAGCTCCTGCTTCAGTTTAACCATGAGGCCCGAACCCCTAGGAGCAGCAGGCAGGCTCAGCCTCACCTGACCACATCCCTGAAGGTGCGCCGATTGTCCTTGTCTAGCGACAGTGTCAACAACCTCTGGTCCTGGCTCTGGATCTGGATGTTGGCTGTCCGGAAGGTGTTCGTCACCGTCTGCAACAAAGAGACAGCTCGTGTGAGTGTCACCTTTGCCTAACAGATGGCCTTGCCAACAATCCTACCCCTGGAATCTGGTGTGTTTCATCGGTCCATCAAATGGGGTCCCCAGCGCTCTTCCAGCAAGTGACTCTGAGCATTGATGACCCCGCATAAACTGCTTCTAGGCTGCCCTGACCCTTGGATCTTGCATTGTTTCTGCAGTTCTTTCCCCAGCCTGTTATCCTTCATTGTGAACACAAATGGGAATGCTGTGGCTAGTGCTTGCCAGGCTGTCAAGTTATCCAAGTTTGAGTGTTGATTTCGTCAACAAACTTTTTCTGATTACTTCCTATATATATGACAGGCATGTTGTTATGTGTGGAATTTGGGGATGTTTCAGGGGGTTTTGTAAGTCCTGATCACAGTTCTCAGCATTAAAGTACATACAACATTATTTACCTGTGGCAAAAACAGAGAGTCTAGAAAATAGCCAAGGATGCCCAAACCTCAGGCCAGGTCAAAAGGAAAGGAAAGCAGCCTCAGGCATCCTTCCAACCCCTTCTCAGAGAGGCCCCTCACATTCATTGGGCAGGTAACTTGGAGCATCTCGAGTTCCAGACAGGGCTATCAGAGATCACTAGCCCATTCCACGCATAGCCCACCGCTTTGGGTAATTTCCAACCACAGAACACTGGAGTTGCTGGAGGCCTCAGAGTTCACCTTACTCAAGCGATCTCAAACCTGGCTACCCCCACGAAAATTACCTTTCAAAAACATAAAATTAGAGACTCTGATTTAAGTGGTATGTAGTTAAGCCCAGGTACGGGCATTTTTTAAAAAAGCTCCCTAGGTAGGCAGGGTTGAGAACCACTGAGTTAATCCACCATTTCATTGTCACATAGCAGAGGCATGAGCAGCAGCCTAAACCGGGGGTGGGAGTGAGGCAAGCATGTCCAGCCATTTTAGCTGAACTTTGGTAGGGCTGTGGGTACGCCAGCCAGAAGTCTATGGGGAGAGTATGTAAGAATCTCTTCGGAGGAGGGCCAGGAACATAGTCTGGCATGGTGGCTCACGCCCGTAATCCCAGGGATTTGGAAGTCCAAGGGCAAGAGGATTGCCTGAGCCCAGGGATTTGAGACCAGCCTGGGCAGTTGGCAAGACCTCATCTCTACAATAAACAAACAAACAATTGGGAAAAAAAAGAAAGAGCACAGTCTCTAAACCAGATTACCCGGTTCTAATCCTGGCTCTGCCACTTTTTAGCTGTGTGACCTTGGCCATGTTTCTTAATCTCTGTGTGCTACTTTTTAGGACTGTTATAAAGATTAAATGAGACAGTATATGTTAAATACCTGGAACAGTGCCCAAATACATGGTAAAAGTTCTAATTAATGTTGGGAGTTTATTATGACATATTATAATTTTCTGAGAAGGGGCAAAGCATAAATAATGGACTCAGTAATGAAGCCTCAGTTGTCAGAGGGGAAGGAGAAGCCATGAAGGTTCTTTCTTTCCTTAATTGTCTCCTAGGCCAAGCCCCTACCTCTCACTACCCTATTCACAGCCTCTTGTGAGTCTGAATAAGTGGGTTATGAGTAAAGACAGTAAGATTTACCAAAACCTCTGTAAGATGGGAGGACTCCACGAGAAAGGGTAACAGCAGGGGAGAGAAGACTTTGCCCCTGCTGGTACCCTGGAGTTCTCAGTTATGATGAGCAGGTGTGGTCAGGGGGTCAGGCAGAGAAACCTAGAGGGCACTGACTGGACAGCTACCTTGATGGTTGGCAGTACTAAGATGTCCACCTGTGACCTTCCAGAAATATCTTAAGAGATTGCACGGGGGTAGGGGAGAGTCAGGTGTATTTAGTTTACCATAGTTAATGGGGTTGCACCTAATCTGAGGGCACCTGGTGAGGGAAACTCATGGTTTCCAGAGGTGAGGAGACAGGCCTGGAGGGAAAGAATGTGCCCGCTTGCTGAAGGCGACACACGGGTGGCTGTAGGACCCAGCTCCCTGGCTCTCGACTAGATCCCTCTCCTGCCTCAGGATGCTGTAGGAGTCACCACAGCATCTGGGCCTCCACGATCTACCCACAGACCCAGACCCACCCTCTAGATAATCACATGAAGTCTTAGGGCCTCCTCCCTCCTGCCCATAGTGTAGACAGATGCCTTTCATTTTTCTCCTTGTGGTCTGCATGCCTAGACACACCCACCTGCTTGGCTTTGGCTCATAAAGACCACAGGAGTCTTGGAATTCATTCTGTATATGTGCCCAGGGAAGCCAGTGGGAGGGGTCAGATACAGAATTTTCAGAGGCTCCTGGTCTCAGCCAAATGAGGGATTAGCAAAATGCTAATTGTCTCCTGTTCTCTGTTGGTGGCTTCCTGCCTTCCACACTCTGAAGTCTCAATTCTTCTGCTCCTGCCTTATTTCCCACTACTCTTCCATATCCAACTTCCAATCCAGCCAAGGTCATATCTCTGTTTTAAACTCACTGAGTTTTAAACTCACTGAGCCAGTCACAGTGCCCTTGCCCATACTGTTCTCTGAGCCGGAAATATCTTTACTCCAGGTTACCATGAGCTTCTCCCTGCTGCTCAGTGGATATGGTTATGTCCTCTTGGACAGAACATGCATCCAGACCCACCTCATTCCAAGAGGAAAGCACAGCTACTAAAATTTTCCCCCAGCAAGTCAGTGCAGAGATAAAAGGGAACTTGCAGGAATAATAAATTTAGATTTTAAAAAAAAGCCTCTATCTACGTAGTTTAAAGGGGCCATTAAAAACAGAAACTGCCGGGCTCGGTGGCTCAGCCTGTAATCCTGCGCTTTAGGAGGCCGAGGTGAGTGAATTGCCTGAGCCTGCGGATTCGAGACTTGCCTGGGCAACTTGGCAAGACCTTATCTCTACAATAAACCAACAAAATTAGCCGGGTATGGTAGCGCACGCCTGTAATTACAGCTACTTGGAAGGCTGAGGCGGAAGGATCGCCAGAGCCCAGCAGGTTGAGGCTGCGGTGGCCGGGAGCGGCCACTGCACTCCAGTCTGGGTGACTGAGTGAGACTCCAACTCAAAAAAAAACCAAAACAGAAACTACTTTAAGGAACTGACTTGAAAGAGGAAATACAACATAAGGGTAAATTAGTCCACTTTGGAGCCTAAAGCTTAAGTATTGGGCTACCCTCGGGGAAGGACGGTTTCTACTCTAGACAATAAATCTCACAGCCTATCAGAGCTCTCTTACAATGGTTAGGCTGCCTTGGAAAGATGAGGTGGAGCAGGGACTAGGTGATTCAACAAACATCTGGTGAGCCTCCACTGTGTGTCAGACAGCAGAGTACCGGGGGAGATGGGGTACTAAGATGAGGGCCCTGAGCCCAGGGAGCTCACTGGCTGTTGATAAAGATCTTGCCATGTACAGTGTCACAAATCCTCCCACGGCTGTGTTGCAAGGGTTCCATGGCAGCAGAGGTGGGGCTGCTAGTTCACCTAGGCGGAGGAAGGAGGTGGAAGATGTGGAGGGAATGGGGAAGAGCATCAGGAAGGGCCTCTGGGGAGATGACACCTGCGTCTCATCTAGCAGGATGAGTAGGAGTTACAAAAAGAAGGTGGGAAGAGGAAGGGAGGCATGTGGTTTCAGGTCAAACAGCCAGTGTGGATAGAGGCACAGAGTACGACCTCAGGAACATTTCCAAACACTGTAGTGGGAAAGGCCTGCAGGGAGTGGCCAGGGCTGCAGATGGAGAGGAATAAGAGCCAAGCTATGTAACACCAAAGAGTTTTTATGCTCTTGGAAAATAGGAAATAATGGGAGGGTTTTAAAAATGGGGTGATGTGGACAGATACATGGAAGGTGGACTCAAGGAGCATCCAAGTGGTGCCATGGACACCAACTGGGAAGCTATTGTATTGACAGGTGAAGGTCAGACCTAGGATGACTGACTTGTCCTTATATGGTTGGGACTTTCCTGGTTTTAACACTGAAAGTATCAAGTCCAGGCCGGGCTTGGTGGTTTAGCCTGTAATCCCAGCACTTTGGGAGGCCGGGGCGAGTGGAATTCCTGAGTCTGCGGGTTCGAGACCAGTCCGGGCAACTTGGCAAGACCTCGTCTCTACGATAAATAAAAAATTAGCTGGGTGTGGTAGCGTGTACCTGTAGTTCTGGCTACTTGGAAGACTGAGGAGGAAGGATTGCCGGAACCCAGCAGGTCGACGCTGGGGTGGCCATGACCATGCCACTGCACTCCAGCCTGAGTGACAGAGTGAGACTCAAACAAAAAAGAAAGAAAGAAAGAAAGAAAATATCAAGTCCAGGAAATCCCCTCGGTCCCAGGCAAACTGGGATGGTTGGTCACCTAGCTGGGCCAGAAGAAGGATGGAGAGGAAGGGGAAGATTTGAGAAGTGTTCCAGCAGGACATGGGGAAGTAAGGAAGAGGAGGCATCAGACTCCCAGGTTTCCAGCAGAGGTGACTGATTAATTATGGTACCATTAACTGAGCGGGGGAATCTAAAGTGAGTATGGCATAAAAACAACTACTAACACATATGTGCTTACTTGGCCAAGCCCTCTTCTGAGAGCTTTGCATGCCATGGTTACAACAGCTGAAAGAGGCAGGTTATGCTATTACAGTTGGCCTTCCGTATCCGAGTATCCAGAATCTGTAGATTCAGAGGGCTGACCATAAGGGACTTGAGCATCGTTGGATTTTGGTATCTGTGGAGGTCCTGGAACCAATCCCTCATGGATACTGAGGGACAATTGTCTCTCCATCATGCATAATGGGACTGAGGCACAGAGAGACTGAGGAATTTGTCTAACATCATGAAACTGGTAAATGGCAGAGCCAAGATCTGAATGCAGGAGTTTGGCTCTAGAGAACACTTAGCTATTAGAAGGTACTGGCTTTGGTTTTCAATATCTTGAGTTTGAGGGTTATGGAACACCTAGTTCATGCTAATCTAGTTACATGCTAGGTCAGGAACTCAGGGGGTGAATGTCAGATCAAGAGA